GAACAAATATATAGCGCTAAAACACTATTTCTGGGAGAAAACAAGACAGTCCATAATGTGTTCCTGATAAAGCACAAAAGTTAGTGGAAACTGTGAATCCATAAAAGCTCACAGGATAGTTGACAAGAAGAGGTTCCTGTAGAAGTGGATTTGGATTCACAGGAGGGAGTCTGAGCAGGAGAGGCAGACCTGGTAACTGAGGAGCAAAGTGGATCTTGTCAGCTGCTTTCCCTCCATCCACAACTCCTGTGAGACTCGCTTTGGGGTCAGTGAAAGGCTGGGCCGAAACAACTACCTTAACCATGCTCTCTTTTCTCATTTAGTGTTACCAATCAGAATCAGAATTTCAACTGTGTGACCATCGGCCTCACAAAGACATTTGATGCCGCATCATGTGACATCAACTACCGTTGGATCTGCGAGAAGAATGCCAAATGATCACAGTTCTTTGTGGCAAGAACAAATATATATGAAGACAGCAAAATTAGGACAAGTCTGGGAAATACAAACATCAGTTTTCCACAGGTTACTGGCAGAGCTCCAAAACAAATATTCTGGGTGAATACACCACCCTGCTCTAACATTCACAAAATGCAGGCAAAGAGCCAGCAATTACACGAGACCACATTTCCTGGGAGAGTCACACCTGCGAAATTTTTTTAATTTATTTATTATTATCATAATCTTGGTTATACCTGCGAATATTTTTGTACACAGTTTGTCTGGTCAGCAATTTCTTTACCTATATGTCCACCAATAGAGGCCATTGCCTATTTGGGAAGATTATCTTCTGTATTCTGCATCAGGGGATTGCATGATACCATCTTCAAGAGACAGTAAGCTTTATGGAGACAACTCAGTTCATAAATGGATGAGGTCCATTTCAGGAGAACTTAGCATTCCTGAACTTAACATTCCTGACCAACAACATAAGGCCTCTTGACAGAGTTTGACTTGTTTATATACCACTTGACCATACTACCAGGAAGAAATGGCACACCGAGCAGGTGTGATTATTTACAGAGTTCCCTGAGCAGAGGAGGGACAAATTCAGCTGCCTGACCTCAACATGCTCTCAAGAAACCCGCATTGATATGTCCACCTTCATGTTTGGAAAAGCGGAGTCCCTCCTCAGTCTGAATTAAGGCCAGGGCAAGGAGAGGCTCCTAGAGTTCAGCTTGGAGTAGATAGAGCACTGTTTATAGGATGGAGAAGGGTCTGGACAGGGCAGGAACCTGCTCAGAGACCCCTTTGAAGAAAACCAGTCAGAAAGGGACTTAAAGTTTCTTGTGTTGGTCTGACACTCCATTATAGCATATATAACTCTTTGCAACAAAAATTCAAGTAAGCAGATTCCCTTTGCTTTGCAGGTTTTAATTACTTGACCACATATATGAATATGTTTTAAGAATTTGGAATAATCTCTTAAGCACTGATGGTCAAAATATCTTTCTCCATGGCATTCTAGAGAGGTCCCACTGACAGGCACAGCCTGCTGACCAAAGAAGCTCTGTACTGGTTGGCATCACCTTGATATAGGACTGCTCCAACTAACCAAGGAGTAGAAAAAGATGAGGATTGCTCAGAGAAACACTGGGGGGAGGGAAGGAATAGGCATACAGTTAAAAAGAACATACTAGGGGAAATGGAAATTATATGAAAGTGGAAGCAATCGATTATAATAGAAGAAAGGCAAGAAGAGGTAGACAAGTCTGTACCCTGGCTGCTCTCTGCACTCACAAGAAGACATCAAGTATATATCCTTCTCAATACACATTTAAAGAGAGAGAGAGACAGAGAGAGAGCTGTGTGTTTTGAGCAGCAAGAACTATACCATAAGGGAAGACTGTATAAAACTAGTAAACAGAGTAGCTGTTTTCAGATTGCAATTAAAAAAAAAAAATGAACAGAGAGCCAACTGGTGGCCTGGTAGTTTGGACACTGGGCCCCAAATGGCCAACTATGCAGTTCAAGTCAAGTCTCAGACCTAGCAGCTTGAAAAAGATATGTTGGGTACATTTGTGTGCGCCCAGGATCCTTGCAGGGCAATGAAGGAGAGGGGATTATGGTGTAGTCATCAGGGCTGCTTTCTTACTTTCCCTGTCTCTCTATATCTGTCTTTATCTGGTAAACTCATCTACTATAGCAAATTTTAAAAAAAAATCAAAAACTAACAGATATTATAGTCACCTAAGTAAACTATTTACCATTTGTGTCTAGTAACGATGTACCATGGTAATGATTATGTATCGCATCACATATATGTCATAATAAATTGTTGTAATTTTATTTTTATACATTGATTTCTGTTCCTAAGTCCCCAGGTTTTATAATTTGGGGTTCACTAGCATAAACACTTAATTTTTCAAAATTGAGATAATACATTAGGTGTTAGAACTTTGTTGAAGGAGTTTACCAGCATAATTTATGTTTGGAGTAGGGTGGATATCGGGATTGTATTAACATCCTGTAGAGATATATATTCTCTGATGGTGTTAACAAAGGACAAATAATGAAGATGAAGAGGGAAAAAGCTGAGTCTATGGTGTAGATAAGAATTAGCAGAATTCTAACCAAATAAGTAAGCCCCAGAACTCAGACAACAGAAAGAAAATAATAATCCTTTGTTTTGGTTGTCACACTTCCTATTAATATGACAGAATAATTACAACCTTTTAAGTTCAGGAAATATAGACATCTAGTGATTTCCCTAGTGAGCAGCCCAAATTTCCCCCAAGATAAGGATGTACCTCTGTACAAATTCTAAAAGAAGCCCAAGGGACTAAGTGGAGGTGATGAGTTTGTAGAGAATATGTGAACTTTGATTTAAGTTCATTCTTGGGGAGTTACTGGATCTCTAGAAGGATAGATAAATGTTACCTTATTAGGCCACAGTGGTATTACACACACACACACACACACACACATATAAATATATATATATATTTAATAAGCAATGGGCCAACCAGTGATGTGGTGGTTAAAGCAGCTGGATACTATATGGCTAGCTATGTGGTTCAAGTCCCAGACCTGGTGGCTTGAAAAACACACCAAGCATGTGGTAGGAGGTGTACTCAAAACTCAAAAGGAGAAAAGGAGGAGAGGGGATTACAGCACAATCTCCCATCTCACTTTCTCTCTCTCTTTCTTTCTCTCTCTCTCTGGTGAGTGTGCATGCTCTATAGCAAATTTTTTAAAATGCAAGCAATGGAACATTAGTAGAACATTAGATGTGAGTTTTTATGTTGCTTCTAATAAGCTGTATGAGTCTATATAAATTTTTTTACCTTTCTGTGTCTTAGTTTACTTACCCATTTTATGGATAAGTAAAACCCATTTTAAAACTTCATATTCATATTAAGTAAGATCCTCTTATGTATTTAAATGACAATAAACGTTAGGAAAATCACTTTGTGGGAGATTTGAACTTGAGATCCATCCAAGAAGTAGTTTTTCAATTTCCTAAATGCAAATGTAGGCAAGACACTTAATTTCTTACACACACAAAAACATCCATCCATCCACCTCTTTTTTCTTTCTTTTCTTGTTTGTTTTCTTCTCTTTTGTTTCTGTCTTTGTTTTTGCCATAGCATACATATGCTTGCTAAAGAGAGACAGAGAGAAACAGTGAGAGTTTGGAAAGTGAGAAATCATCCCCTTCAAGGGGGGATGGCCATGTCGCAATCCTTTCTCCTCCATTCTCCTCATGGGATCCTGGCACACACACACACACATGCCCAGCATAATTTCCAAGAAACCAAGTCCAGGACTCAGACTGTGATCAGCCATGTGAGAGTCCAGCACCTTAACTACCATACCACCCAGTGGGTCCCTCACTCTATCTTAATTATCCTAAAAGTCTTAATTCATCCCAGTACTAACTCAAAAGTCCAAAGACATCTGTGAGACTGTGAACTCAAACATACTACTTTCTTCCAAAATTCAATGGTGGGAGAAGCGTAAGATAGATATTTCCATTCCTCAAGAATATAGAAGTAACAATTCTGAAGAAAATTTGAAAACCAAAAGGGAAGACATTTCATCTTAAAGCTTGAGAAAAATCTTTTACTCCATATGCCATATTATGAATGCAATAGCATACAAATTGGACTTCTAAAGCATTGGGCAGTCTTGCCTGCATGGCTTTATGTGGTGTTCAGGGTGGCCCTCACCATCCAACTGTTGCTCCATTAGACACTGACTCTGTCGGGACCATCTATGACAACTCTGACCCCATGTTTCTGTTTCACATTGCCCTAGTGGGACTCCCTGCAGTGGCACCATTCCTGTGACAAATCTCTGTTTAGGCTTCCAAGCTGTCCAAGGCACCTTTTGAAATCTAGGTGGATGCCACTATGCCTCCCCAGTGCTTGAATACTATATGCCTACAGAATTACCTCCACATGCATGTCAACAAGGTTTGCCACTTGCATATTCCAGAGTAGCTGGTGGAGCAGCAGTCTTCATGATTGGTCAAGCTGCATCTAAGGCCACATGCACTACAGCTAGGACTGAAGAGCACTGTACCAGAATGTAGAGAGCAGAGTACTGAGGAAGTACAAAGTAGCATGTCTTCCCCAGCTCAGTAATTTGAAACCGTTCTGTGCTCATAGGCCTCTGGGCCTATGATGAAAAGGGTATCCTTGAATTTCTCTGAAATGCCCTCTGAGATTTTTCCCACTTTCCTCACAATTAGCAATTTGCTCCATTTCATCCATGCTAAACCCTTAAACAAGGTGCCATTTGGCCACAGTCTCTTCTGTACATACCTTTTTGCTCTTTAAATAGTCTGGCTGAGATTTTTCTTAATGTTTCTCTTTTAATTACCAATTCCATCTCAAGTCATAACTTTGCTCTCTCATCATTGCAAGTTCTTAAAGTAACTATGAAGCTCCTTGCATATTTTACTTATCAATTTCTCTATCCAAATATTCATTACTCTTAAGTTTGGCATTCCACAAAGCCTTATGTCATGAACACAAAAATGCCAAGTTCTTTATAATGATGTAATAAGAATGACCTTTTCTCCAGTTTTTAACACAATATTTTTTAATGTCATCTAAGACCTCATCACAATGGTCTTTACTGTCCATATTTCTATCAGCATTCTGTTCCTAGGTGCCTAATCAGTCTCTAATAGTTTCAGGTCATTCCTACTCTGTTTTCTTCAGACGACCACCAGAATGTAGCATGCTTTATTAAGCATGTTCTTTCAAATTATTTCAATCCAGGTCTAGGTAAGTTATAAAGAATAGAATTTTATTTTTTGTTTTGCTTTGCTTTTTCATTAGGCAACACTTTTTTGGGGAGGTTAGAGGTCAAGGGGTCACAACTGGTGAGAATCTTTTTTGTTAGTGGGGATTCTTTGCGAAGTCCCAAAACAGCACAGGATAGCACATGAAAAAAGCTTATGTGTTTTCATGTCTGTTTGTATTTGTTTTACTAATCATAATCATTTCCTGCATGCATTAACTCTTCTTTCTACAGTTGGATTAAATCTCCACCCTCTTAATACCAGCATAACCAAATTTCAATATGTGAATTTTAGAGGAACACATTCAAACCATTGTCCTTATTAATACTCTATTGTTTGCTTATTTATTCATCTGCTGTGTACATTCATGTGGCTTTCAATTTGGGGCTATTATGAATAATGATGTTATAAACATTCATGAACAAGTTGTTATGGGTATATGTTTTTATTTCTCTTGGACATATGCCTAAGAATGAAAGTGCCAGGTCACATAATTCTTTTTAAATGATTTTTTAAATTTTATTTTATTCATTATCTTTTTTTTTAATTTTATCAGAGAGAAACAGGGGGTGGAGAGACATGAGAAAAGCAGTCACCAGGTCTGGGATTCAAACCATAGTTGGCCATGTGGGAGTCCAGCACACTAACCACACCACCACCACTGCCAGCCCCACATGGCAATTCTATGACAAATTGTTTGAGGAACTGACAGTTTTTCCAAAGAAACTTCACCATTATATTTTTCCATGGGTGCCAATTTTTACATCCTCGTCAACACTTGTTATTATCTAACATTTTAATACTACTAAGTGTAAAGTCGTATCCTATCATAGCTTCAATTAGAATTTCCCTGGTAATTAATTATCTCAATCATCTTTTTTATGTGATTACTGTGTATTTGTATATATTTTCTTTAAAAAAAGAATCTGTTCAAATGCTTTGTCCATTAAATTGCAAGTTCTATTTTCTTATCATTAAAATATCATTTTTTATATTTTCTGGCTACAAGTCCTTTAACAAACAGATAACTTGCAAATATTTCTCTCCATTGTGTTAGTTGCTTTTTCATTTTCAAATGTGTCCTTTGCTGCATGAGAGATTTTCATGCAATCCAGTTTATCTATTTTTTCTTTGTTGCCTGTGCTTCAGATGTCCTGTCCATGAAATCATTGCCAAATCTAATGTCATGAAGCTGTCTTCCTATGTTTTCTTCTGGGTGCTATAATTTTAGCTCTTATGTTAAGTCTTTTATTCATTTTTAAGTTAACTCTTGAATATAACAATAATATACATTCATATACATTCTTTTTTATATAGAAATCCAGTTTACCACAGTGCTGGATTTTTTAACATTTAGGATTGAAATCAATGTTCTATCCCATGTTTTCTATTATTTAAAATTAATTGTAAATAGTTATCTAAGTTGTGGAAGTAATAGTAGGCTCAGCCTTGCCAATTGATTTGGGCAGTAAAATTTGGTCAGATTCAAATTTGACCATGATTTCCCTACTATCTCAAGAGTGGTCAAGTACTGTTAGAGGTTTCTGCATTAATCTGGCTCATAATAAATACAAGAAAGAGAAGAGGGGCAACTAACTCACTCTATACAAATAATGGGAGAGAAATAAACTTTTTTTTTAATTCTGAGCTACACAAATTTTAAAGTTGTCTGTTACCATAATATAACCTAGCTTATATTGACTATGAATGAATAAAAAGTAATTCAGATAAAATATGCAAATAGCATTGTATTATTTAGCAGTATAGACAACTTAGTATACTGATTAAGAACATATGAGCAATTTATTCCTTTAGGGAATGCATTGCATCAGAGCAGGCATGAGTGACAAAGAATGTGAAGTCAAAACGCCTGTAAACCCAATAAAATGGTGCACTACTAAGTTTTCTGCCATTCAGTACAATTAATTATTTGATCTTTGGGTCTATTTACCTTAAAAGATGTATTCACTGTGTTTATGGCTGTCCATTTGAGGGGGAAAAATTATCTACTGGCATATTCTTGCAGTGGTCAAGTTTTATCCAACAGGAAGTACCTACTCAGAATTTCTGGATTGTCCAGACATGAATTTTCCACATAGATCTCTCATTAGTAAAATTAATAGGGAATCCCTAGAACCAGATGTGAAAGGTGCTCCTGACAGCATGACATAAAACATCAGTTGCCAATATTATTATAATGGTTTATATTACATACATGTATATTCATATGTAAATCAAGTATTTCTATAATCAGTTTGAGAAGGTAGAGAAATATTCAGCACAGCAGAAGGCAGTTGCCCTGGCTGGGAATATTATGGGTTTATACATTTAATTTCTCCAATTTTAGCTGCACTGGTACACTGTTTTGGAGTATGGAGTTCTGGATAAATAGTTTTCTCTGACTCTCGGGAACTAGTACACACAAAACGGAGGTTCTATGTGACAGGGCAGCTTTTTTTACCATAGGGCAGCCTTGCAACTTTTGCTAAAAGTGATTTTTTTCCCCATCAGACATAATAACCTAGGTCTTAAGATAAGGAGATTGTATAGTCACATCTTCACACACCTTAATCTTTTATATTCTTCTTGAATTCCCAGTTTCTATGATAAGTTCTATGAAATCTTTCAAAATATTTTAAGACTTTACTTAGCAAATATCCTTCTAGTAAGAATAATACATGTGTGTAAATAAGCAGTTATTCATAGATCATTAAAAACAGGTTGGAGGATGAATTAATATATCCCTTAAGACACATATACACACACACACACACACACAAAGGAATTATTTTGTTTGGTGTGGGCAGTCTAAACACATGGCTCTCAAAAGGAAAAAGAAAAGGCATACAGTGAAAATCTGGCTCTCCGTGTCACTTGCTCTTTCTATCATCACAATCCCATAGCAACCAGTTATTATTTTCTCATGGAGCCTTTCACAAGCAGACACTACAAATAGGAATTCTTTTTGTTTTTTTTGTTAGTTTGTTTGTTTGTTTTGAGAGGTTTTTGCTATAGGGTGCATGCGCTCGCCAGAAAGACAGAGACAGAGAGACAGAAAGTGAGAAATCACACCCCAGGGGGGATGGCCATTCTCCTCCATTCTCCTCTGGGGATCTCGGGCATGCACGCACACGCACCCGCGTAAGTTTAAGCCACTGAGTCCGGGACTCGAACTGTGGTCAACTATATGGGAGTCCAGCGACATAACCATTATGCTAACTGCTGGCCTTTCTACTCCATTCTTACACAAAGGGATGAATACTAAATTTCATGCACTTTGCTTTTCTCACTTAAGAGTGCACCTTGGATATCATTTCTAATCATGGCAGAAAAAACTTCATTCTTTGTTTAATCTGCACAAAATTCCATTGTATGAATGAAACGTTTACTCAGTCAAGCACAAGTTGATATCCCATATGATTAATAATAGTTTGTTTTACACAAATGCTGTACTAGGAAAGTAGTGCTCAGTGCAGAAGAAATCAAAACATCAGGGAAGAGGGCAGTGTCCATGAAGGGGTAAGGATGAGGTTGGGCAACGCAAGAAGTGAGGCAGCAGGGCAGTGCCAAACAATATTGAGAAAAGCTGCTAATAGGATGGAAAGTAGGGTTTGTGGTGAGAGATAGGAAATGGAAAACCTAAGAATAAATTGCAGAACTGGAGTCACTGAAGTAAAAATAAATAAAAAAAGCAAAAACCATAAAGAGGAATCAGGAGAGACAGTGGGCAGGAGAAGACAAGCAAATAAAGAGAAAAGAAGCAGAGAAGGTGCCATGGAACTTGGAAAGATTGAAGAATGTGAGAAACAGGGACCAGAGGTTGCCTCTTCTGTCACTCTTGCTCTCGTCCCCTTAGCCCAGTGACGAACAAGGTCAGCCCTCCCTTCCTCTTCAGTCCCAGAAAACAGGTATATCTCCCACCTGCTTTGCAACAAACAGAGCATGAGCAGGTAAAAGAATATCGCCTTACTTAGCTCTTCCTTCTGTAGCTTGAAAAAGTCCACAAAATAGGGGGGATATGCCTATTTTTTTTTTGAGAGGTTTTCGCTATAGGGCGCGTGTGCTCGCCAGACAGGGGGGATGGTCACACGGCAATCCCTTCTCCTCTATTCTCCTCTCAGGATCTTGGGCACACACGCACATGCGCCCGGCGTGAGTTCTAAGCCACTGGGTTCGAGACACGAACCACGGTCGACTACGTGGGAATCCAGCGACATAGCCATTACGCTAACTGCTGGTTCCCCTCGGGATATGCCTATTAAAAGCAACCTATCCTGGAATCATAAAGACGTTCAGATTTACAGAAAGAGTTTATTCTCTAAATACTGCCAGCTGAGAAAAATACAGAGAAGTATAAAGAAAACAGGACTTTGAGATAGAAAATCTAGAGAATAAGCCGAACTAGAGAATGAATAGAGAGTTTTACGTAGCCAGAAGACTAAAGGCACAGGGCCATTCACAAGAAGACCCTCAGGAACATAGGATCGAGTGATCATTCCATTCTACAGTCAGAAGATGCTTTTCCTTGCAATTCTAAATACACATATTACTGTACACTTAAAAAAAAAACTTACTGTGAAATGTATAATAAATTTAAATTAATATGTAAATATATTTAGAAACAATCATTGAATTTCAAGTAGCAACAAGTGATATTATATACATCAGTAATAACTTAAAAATCTGGTGTTGAACATGTATGATTTGATGATGATGATGATGATGATGATGCGTCTCAAAAACGTGGAAGTTCTTTCAGATTATTCTAGAGTTCATAATAAGCGCTTTGCTATGTAAAAGGCCTTAGGGCCAGACTAGTTCCTGAATAGTTGACAGCAGTGCTTCACTCCATCCCGAAGTGCCTCTATGACTTTGTCATTCCGGAGAGTGAAGATAAATGGGTTCAGAAAAGGGGTCACCACTGCAACCATCAGGGATACCACCCTGTTGTAATCAGCTGCCTGCGTTTGCTTGGGTTTCACATAGAGGAACAAGCAGCTGCCATAGCCAATGACCACGCAGGTGAAGTGGGAGGCACAGGTGGAGAAGGCTTTCTTCCGACCAGAGGCGGAGGGGATCTTGAGGATGGTGGAGATGATGTAGGTGTAGGAGACAATGGTAGGAATCAAAGAACCAAAGAGGACAAACACAGCCATTAAAAAAAGAATGAACTCTGTGAAAAGTGTATCATCACATGCTAGTTTGAGCAATTGCCCTCGATCACAAAAAAAATTGTTCACCACATTTGACTTGCAGAAAGTAAACTGAAACGTGGCATACACAGGCCAAACTTGAAAAAGGAACCCAAACACCCACGACACAATTACCACAAAGTAGCAAGTACGGCTGCTCATAATGATGTTGTACCTCAGAGGGTTACAGACAGCCACATAGCGGTCCACAGCCATTGCTCCCAGTAATGAAAACTCTGTGGTCCCCAGAGCAAGGTACAGGAAGAGCTGAGCAATACATGCAGTCAAAGATATCCTCTGCATCCCAGGCAGTAGCAACCCCCAAAGCATCACAGGGACAGTTACTGTTGTCACCAGATTCTCCAGGACGGAGAGATGGCCAAGGAAGAAATACATGGGGGACTGCAGACGTTTATCGACACAGACGATCACAATGATGACCGTATTTCCCATCAGTGTCACCAAGTAGAAGAAGAAGAACGTGGCAAAGAGAATGTGGTGGAGTTCTTCAGAGCCAGGGAAGCCAAGAAGATAAAATTCAGTGGCACTAGAGTAATTCCCCAACATTTAGTTCTGAGTCCTCGTTCCTTGTGAAATCTAGAGAGCAATAGAGAGATAACACTGTCTCTCACTTCAAAGGGGTGACCTTTCAGATAGAAGAGACATTGCCCTCTGTTCCTCAACTGCACAATATGACTCTACATTTTCTACACAAGGTTGATGTTAAATGTCTAGTGAAGAATATATACAATATATGAGGATGACTATACAGACTAAAAAGAACAACAATGGGGACAATATGACACAATAAGCTTGAAATCCTACCCATCCTTGAATGCACCAAGCATCCAGCCTCCAATTCAACTCTGACCAGCTAACCTGCACACTTTCCTGATCACCACCTGCTCATTTACATTATACTGCATCCATCCTGAATGGAACTAAATTGGCTTTTTTTTTTTTAAGATTTTTTTGCTATAGGGCACCTGCACTTGCTGAAGCAAGAGACAGGAGAGGTAAAGTGAGAAATCAACCACCAGCAGGGGATGGCCACACTGCAATCCCTTCTCCTCCATTCTCCTCTCGGGATTTCGGGCATGCATGTATACATGCCCAAGGTGATTTTCACGTTGCTGGGTCCAAAACTTGAACTACAGTTGAGTGGGAGTCCAGCACCTCAACCACTACACCACCTGCTGGTCTCAACCCAGATGCTCATGACCCCAATGATCTAACTTGTCTTCTCTGCCTATTATGTCCCTGTCTTGTAAGTCCTAGTTCATTTATGCAATTATAATATTCCCAGCTACCTTACATAGACAATGTTAACTTTTTTCTTTCATGTCCTCTAAACAGGGGTTCCACTTGCATTATGCTCATTTAAGTTTGCACCTCAGTTATATTTATCATTTGTTCAGGTGTTTTTAGGAAGTAGAGTTTAGTCTAGGACATTGTCATAAGGGAAACCTATTTTGACACAAAATACGCAATCTCTCCCTGGTTTCTGGGTACTGGCTGCTGGGAGTATGCTATCTACTTCTTCCTCTTCATTTTTATGGTGAAACCCATCCTCCCCTCCCCTCTTATCTTAGTGAATGTGTTTTCCTCAAGAAGGCAGAGTCTGACCAGGTCCCAGTTAGCAACTTCTAGCTCTGAGATTTCAATTCCTCTTGTCACCATATGACACAGAAGACAAGGAGTCCAGAGGGAGTGAAGAAGCTGGAACTTTAGTTTTCAGTTCACATCTGCCCTGTCCACTCTACCCTGGAGCAGGAGACAAGAAAACAGCTGGGAATCAATGTCCACTATATTAACCAGTTATCTTGTTCTGTTTGAGAAACAAGACTCTAAATGGGTAGTTTGTCCCCATACCCAATTTGCCAGGGTCTAGTTCCACAGAGCAGCTTGGAAAATTCCACATAATAGATCAGTTCCTCTAGGACCACCTACGTTTTCCTAGAGTCCAGGGGTAGAGAACAGTGTCAGAATGTTCCAAACTGGTCAAACTCACTTCCTTTGTCTGGGCTCCTTCCCTCACCCCACTCAGAGTTCTGCTCAAATGCCTCATCTTCAGGGTCTCTCTCTCTCACTCATCCTCTCAAAAACAGCACATGCATCCTATTCCTCCACTTTCTAATCTCCACTAGGCAGTATGTTTCCTACTGTTGGTTCTAGACAACATCACAAATCCTATTGTGTTTCCATTTGTTTATTAGTTTATCATCAAATCCTACATATAATTAGGTATCTAAAAGGCACATCAATCTCTTCCCTGTTCACTTCATCTTTTTGTAAAACAGGTGCCAAGAACAGTCTGATACTACATATACCCTCTAACTATTTTAAATTAATATGTCAGTGAAAAGATAAATTTAAAAAGGTCAATAAATGAACAGACTGTCAAGCCTAACTAGTTTTCTCTAAAGCAATATCCAGACTACCTGCAGTCCCTCTCTGGTTATCGCCTGTACTACAGCCAGCAGGTGTGTAGAGAAACAGGAAGAAGTGAAAGGGCAGAGGGGCAGGGTCTTAGGTAATGGCAGGGAGCTGTGCCTATCTCTGCCCTAGGCAGAGAGGATGCTGCCCTCTGCTCTGAAGAGAGGGTTTTATATAGAGTTCATCCTCTCTGCAGTTTCCCTAATCCACTCTTCAGGCTGTGGGTATCCTTGTTCTAAAAAGAAGCCAAGCCCTTACCATAGCAACACTTTCTTACTCACTACTTGACTGAGAGGATCTCCTGGAAGATGCTTAAATCCAGAGAAGGGGTCAGGGCTGGAAAGTCTGTCAACTCTCCAGGATCAGTGTAGCCTGCCTCTTGCTTGGCTAGCACAGAGATATGTTCAGTAGATAGAAGCAGCTGTTACCTCTACTCAGAGCACTGTCCACATACAGAAGCTTAGGGAAAAAATCCAAAAATACCAGTACTGAGGGGTTATCTCCCTTTCTCATTCTCTCAAGCTTCCTACATTCTTTCCCACATTTGTCTCCAAGGATAGTTATTCACTGAGGAATAATTTGTACAAGTTCAGAGACACACTAGGGATGCTATCCCAGAAAAGCTGAAGGAAACTTTCATGGTTCCCTCCTGAGGCTAATCAAGTGTAGAACACTGGAAAGTTGTTTAATGGTAAACTTGAAATCTCTTGCCTGGACTTCTCAACACTCAAGTTGCCCTCCATCCAGGTTCTAAGTTATCAGCAAACAACGCAACTTGTGAATAGTCAACCTCCTGATTTTCTCTGTGCCTCTCCCCGATTGTCTTTAGCCCACAGAGCCTTAGCTACCCTCTAGCTGGGGACCCCACCAGTGCTTCAGTCACCACTGAACAAAACTGTGGAGCCTAACTAGTTTTCTCTAAAGCACTGTCCAGACAACCTGCAGTCCCTCTCTGGTTATCTATCCCCTGTACTACAGCCAGCAGGTGTCAGGAAGAAACAGGAAGAAGTGAAAGGGCAGAGGGGCAGGGTCTTAGGTAATGGCAGGGAGCTGTGCCTATCTCTGCCCTAGGCAGAAAGGATGTTGCCCTCTGCTCTGGAGAGAGGGTTTTATATAGTGCTCATCCTCTCTGCAGTTTCTCTAATCCACTCTTCAGGCTGTGAGTATCCTTGTTCTCAAAAGAAACCAAGCCCCTCCCATAACAACACTTTCTTACTCACTACTTGGCTGAGAGGAACTCCTGGAAGACACTTACCTCCAGAGGAGGTAATATACCTCTGGATATCAAAAACCTTCTCATACTGGAGGTGTGGAGGGGTATTCCAAAAGTTCTTAAAAAATGCATATAATTAAAAAAGTATACATGGATTTCAAATATTTTTACACCAAAATAAGCATACCTAATTCACTTTTCCACAGTCTTTTTGAAATTCTCTTGTATATACACACAAATATATATAAATTTATACATATATCTTACATGAGCACATGTGTGTAAGTCTGTGTGCATTAAACCTTTTCATACAAGCAATTATAAATCAATCACTTTAAGTGATTGCATGATAAACACTTTATTAATATCCCATCATTTACTTAATAGCACGTTGCTAATGAATATTTCATTTTTTCCAGTTTCTTACTATTAATGATATTGCAGTAAATATTCTCACAGGTAAGTTTCTCACTTATACAGATATATTTTTAAGATAATTTATTACATTATTAGCTGTTATCAAACCATGCTCTAAAAATTTGCATCACTTTATAAACTCTATAAATGAGATTATATTGGTACTACCCCCAGAATCCAGGATGTTTTAGTGTTAGCCCAGTATAGATCCTAAAAATCCAATTAACATAGCAATGCCAATAATCGAGAAGTGAGGACACAATCCAGTTCCTCTCCCATGGGAACTGTGCTGAGGGCTGGGAGGGGAGGTGGATCACCCAGTCTGCGTCATGTGATGACAGCATGAACAATGCAAAGGAAGAGTGCTGGAGAATAAGAAAATCCAAGGCAGATGAAACTTTCCTCTAAAAAAAATGGTTATTACAGAACAAAACTTTTTCATTTAAGGTCTAGCTTAATTTCTTCAAACATTTTCCCCAATGTTAACTATAGACTGGCAGAGTAGAAAAGTAGAAAATGGAGGAGGAAGAAATGTATTTTAAAAAATTAAATAAATAAATAAATAAATAACTCCTTTGGAAAAAGTCTCTTTTTTACATTTTCTATGATCCAGCAATTCTACTTCTAGGTAGTTGCCTACAATAAACAGAAATACATCCTCACAAGATTTGTTACAATGTCCAAAATGCCTTTATTCATTACAGTTCATGTCAGAAAATAAATTTCATTGGCATAAAGTTGCTCATAACATCCACTTTTACACTTTTTTTTAAGTTTAAAGGGAGTCTTTATTTGTATCTATTGTGATAACACTTATTTCCATTGATGGCAGCTATACTTGTTACTTGTTTATTCTTACTAGAGATTTATCAATTTTCTTGATCTTTTCAAAGACATTCCATTTGGCTTTGTTGATTTTTCTCCATTGCTTATCCAGTTTGTTTTATGTTCACTAGGCATGTTCCTATGTCTGCCTTGTAAGACATCCTTATAAGGTCACCAGTTATGTAAGATTGGGGCACACCCAAGTCCAGTATGATTTCATCTTAAATAATTACATCTGCAGCACTATTTCCAAAAAAGTTCATATTCTGAACTACTAGAAGTTGTTTTCAATACAGTTACTTTGGGGAACACAATTCAACCCAAAACAGACACCTTGGTTGTCTTTATTTTTTGGTAATAATTAATATTGCTTTTGGGGCTGGCAGGTGGCATGGTGGCTAAGAGTGCTGGACTCCCACATGGCCAACTGTGGTTCGAATCCCAGATCTGGCAATTTGCTTTCTCACTTTCTCTCTCTCACTGTCTCTCTCTGGTCAAATTAAAATAAATAAATAAATAAGTAAAATAAAATAATTCTTAAATTAAAAATATTGCTTCTATAAACATTCACATGCAGGTTTTTGTGGAGACATAAAATTTCAACATACCATTTTTGGATATATATCAAGGAGCAAATTACTGTAATATATGATAAAAGTACAGTGGTTTTTTTAAA